AATTTAAAAGGTATAAATAGAGGTGTTTGAGAGAATTAGAAATAATATATTTATTTACTCGAGTAATTCTTTTAAATTTTAATATTTCAATTTCTTTTTTCCAATCAGCTTTTGGAAGGAAGAAAAAAAACTTTTTTTAAATTTAATAATACTACTATTGGTAGTTTGAAAAAGTTCGATAGAGATGCAACACTAAATTTAAATCTATTGATTTAAAAATATAGCAATGATAAAGCATTAATAAAATATTGTATTGAATGATTTTAACGATCGATTATCAATGAAAAAATTGAAAGGATAGATGAAGAAGAACAGATTGCGTTAATATTTCTTTTCACTTATTAATGCCATTTATCACAATTTCTTGGAATTCACTAAAGAAAGATTGTATTTGAAGTAAAATAATTGCAGGCGGAAGATATTGATGAGATTTTAGCTGAAATCGATGGCTCACAAATTGAAGGTTTCTCTTTTTCTTTCAAGTAACTTTCATTTATTTAAATATTATAATTTTAATTGACTAATTTAAATTAAGCATTACACGATTGTATGATCGAATTTGATATTATGTTGTCTAAACATATAAACAATTTAAATTAATGTTTGCTATAATAAATATTTCTAATAATACTAAAGATCACATTCAATAAACTAAATTGTTTCAAAATTTTTACCAAAAATACGTGTCTTAAATTCATTTCAATCTATAATTTTAATTATTAAAAGCAAGTTTTTTAAAGTTTATTTTTAGAATATCAAAAATTCTTTGATATGTTTGACCGCGGTAAACAAGGTTACATTATGGCAACACAAATTGGTCAAATTATGCATGCAATGGAACAGGATTTTGATGAAAAACAACTTCGAAAATTAATTCGTAAATTTGACGCCGATGGATCCGGTAAACTGGAATTTGATGAATTTTGCGCTCTTGTTTACACTGTTGCAAATACGGTCGATAAGGAAACATTGCAGAAGGAATTGAGAGAAGCTTTCCGACTTTTTGACAAAGAGGTTTCGTTTCTACTATTCAAATATTTTAATTACCATCGGTCTTATTAAATTTCATCATTTTTTTCTTTTCTTTTTCGAGCTAAAAAATGTCTCGTTAATGCAAAAGTTAAGAAAAGAAAATTTAATACCTTCTTCAATTGATACCAAATTTTGTCTGTGAAATTTCATTGTTCATTGTCTATTAAGCGACAATTAAATTTCATTAAATCATTCATTGAACTATTTGGGAAAATTTTAGGGTAATGGTTATATATCTCGGCCAACATTAAAAGCACTTCTAAAAGAAATTGCTGATGATTTAAGTGATGAACAACTGGAAGCAGCGGTAGATGAGATCGACGAGGATGGTTCTGGAAAAATTGAATTTGAAGGTACAGGGGAAAGAGTTAGGAAAAGAGAATAGCTGAATTTCATTTTACCGTCATTATTCATTATTAATTTGAAATATAATTTTAAATTTTATAGTTTACTATTTAGATTAATTTAATAAATATTCTTATCCTATGATGAAATTCATAAAATTTCATATCATTTGGTTTTTTTTGCAGAATTTTGGGAATTAATGGCCGGTGATGCTGATTGAACAACAGCCAATTTATAATATTTCTTTACATTTTTCATTTGTAAATCTAATTTTAAATCAATCGATTTCATCCTTAACTATATATTATAATATATTAATACTATGCATTGTCAATTTTCAGAAAAATAATATTTAATTAAATGTAATAAATGAAAGAAAAAATAAAATTGTCTTTATAATTACACATTCAATTATGAAAATCATCAGATAAACGATATTCAATTGGTATAATGAGAAGTAAAATAGCAGCTGTCACCACAGTACATATAAGAAATATCCAAAACAATAAACAATCAACAACGTGAGCTACGTGACGCCACTCGTTTGTTATCATCTGATATAATTCATTTCTTTCATGATATCTTAAAAATCTCTGCAAGACATTTCTAATGATAAGAATGATAAGAAATGATTCTTTTTTTGTTAACATTGAATTATGCTTTTATTGCGTTAAGTTTCTTTTTTTAATTTCATCAAAATTTTAACATCGTCTATGTGTTTGAAAATATGCATTAAGTATGATTTTAATGATTAAATTTCTTAATTGTAATTATTTTAGAATAGAATAACCTGTAGTATTTTATGAAATCGAAGTTGCAAATCGATACTTCGCCTAGTTTTATGTCTTCTTAAATGTTTATCAATATTGACGAGTTCGGTTTCTTGCAACCAAACTAATTGATTTTCAAATTGATTATGTAATTTCAACCCTTAAGTAAATTTATCCTATTATAATTATAATTTTAAGACAAAAATTAATCAATTAAAGTAGTGCTTGTAATTAAACAATAATAAATTAACATTTTGTAGCAAAGTTTGCTTAATTCAAAGCGAAAGGGTAAGTAAATAGATTAATAATAATAAAATAACTGACCAGTGATCTGTCGTGAGCATATTTCGTCTGGTTGACCATTCGATATATTCCTTCTGCTATATATTGGATATCGTAAATTTATTTTTAAAAAATGTCGTAGTTTTTTTAACACAAGCACACGGATACATTCTGGTACAGGACGATCAAATGGACCACGATGATGAAAATTCAACACCTGAACAAATATTTCTTCAATATGAATATATGAATATTGAAATGATTCATGGAAATGTTTTAGACATTCATTTTAACATGCAATACATTTCTGCACAATTCTTACAACTCTATACTAAAATTGAATAAAGTAATAGAATATTATAAATCCAACCATAACGGTCATAATGACAGATATACTGGTCAGAAGCATAACAATGGTCAGATAAATACCAATTAAAGGTATCGAATCGCTCGTTTCCGGCATTTTTTCTGCTATAGCTAACATAAAAACCTGAAATTATTTCATGCAAAAACACCGTAAATTTCAATCAGAAATGGTAATTGAATATTATAAAATGAAATTATCGATATTGTTTGTTAACAGTCTAATTAGAAGAGACACTTTTTTGATTTCAAATAATTCATTTTATCAAAATATTAAAAGAAAAATTTGAAATGCCAAAAATTATGCAATCTATTTTCATAAGGAAGAAGTTAACGATGGATGAGTGTCCCGTGCGGTTATATTTACCGAGAATGCAAGAAGAACTGTAATTCCCAATGTGATTTTCTCGTTCGAATCGGATGGTAAAATAAATACTGAAATAATTATATTAGGTTTTCTGTCCAAAACTGGAAATTAATTTGAGAAATGAATATTTCTTGAGTTTCTTCAGCTTAAGTTAAATTTAGCTTGTCAATTAAAATAATTCTAATTTTTTGTCCCAATTTTCATAAAGCATCGAAATTCTAATTTCGTTCTTTCAATATTTAACACATTATCATATAGTATCAATTTATGGAACTGATTACTTGTATCGTTTGCTTTTAAAATATCATTCCTGGCATATATTATCACCATTTATGGATTTAAAATCAAAATTTATAATTTTAAATGAAAGTAGTGAACTCAATTGTAAATTTTGGAATGAAATGAATTACCAAGAAGTGTTAAGATAGACATCATTAGACATGGGAATACAATATTATATAAGTAATAAAGTGTCTGAAAGAAATTTTTACTTCATCCCTGAGAGAAATTCCATTATTTCAAAGTTTGAGTTTGAACAAATTTAAATTCTTAAACAATTTCAAAACGTCAAAAATATAAGTCATGAAATTATGCTTTTTCCATAAAAACTACTTATTGAATGATATGAAGTATTTATAAATTAATCTAAGGTTACAATTTCAAGAAAGATTATTTGTTGTTGTTTGTTGACAACTTAGCTTTGAGAATGTTTTACAAAGAGAAAGTAACATACATATGTCCGGTGACTTTTCACCAATCATTCTGAACTGATCATCTTAATTAATTAGTCTGTTTGAAAAGGTCAAATTAAGACAAATCATTTATGTGTCATAAGCATAACAAATAACCTTTCTTCTGATATGAATATAAAATGTAATATCCGGATACGGTTCCAGACAACATGTATACTTAATGGCTCGACGTTTTTGAAATACTCTCACCAAATCAAATTCTCCGGATTCCATATAGTAACTTAAATCAACATTTATACTGCGGTTTGTAATATCCACTTGCAAACCTGAATACATTTCTTTCTTATCAATCTAACAGGTTGTTTATGAATTTCCACATACAAATTTCAGCAATATCCGATATACTACTTCTATCTGTGAAATCCGTAAATTATTAAATATGAATACGCCTAAATATGAAAACCAGTTATTGAAATCAAATTTCTGCAGGTAAAAAATTTTAAACTTTTCTACACCATGATAAGTCCATGAGCCGAATTTAATTGCGCAGTGCTGACTGTCGAACGGAAAATAGGCAACATCAGTTTTACAGGTACTGCGAAGTTGTGCTAGTGGTGGCCAGAAGACGGTACCATCATAAAATAATATTACTCGTGAATTCATTGAATCAATTGTATAATCATCCGCGCTAAATATTCCATCTTCACTAATTAAATACTTCAAACAACTTGAAAATTACGTGAACTTAAACTTTTTAGACTCATTTCATTTGTTTATTTTTAAGATGTAATAATTATTTAATAAGAATTTCATTCATTCTAATAATGATAGAATTGCAAACTTACTTGTTATAAAGAACAATATCAGGTAGCCATATCAGATCGCATGGTACTCGAACAGATTCAATTTCACCAAATTCTTTAGGATCCCAAACTAACCATTCATCTTTCCACTCCTAAATTTTTTAAAGCATTCCTTTCTTCTTTCAAATAAAATGGCTTAAAATCTGAAAAAATCAATAAGAAGGAACCAACCTGATCGAGCCAGACATTTGTTGTTAATAGTTGATTTTTCTCATCCTAAAAAGGCATCTTTTAGTGCGATACGAGAATAAAACTTCGAGAATTTTAATATGATATTTGCTTTATGGCACAAAAATATTGTTATTGAGTGATGATACTTTCACGTTGCGCAAAGTTGTCTCCGATGAAATTGACTAAAGTCAGTGAGATGTTAAAGACACCTAAAATTTTTTGAAGTATTTCATAAAATCTAAGGTACATATGTATATTGAATATATATATATATATATATATACCGATTGGTAATATTTTTGAGCAGTTTAAGGAATTATTTGGCAACTCTCATCTCATATTCTAATTCATTATTCTTCCTTGATGCATTGAGAGATTTTTCTCTATTCTCAAAACACCAAGTAGAACACTCAGAAGAAGGATTGATAACAGTCAAAATAATTGATAATATGTTATTGTCTATCTGAGAAAGGCATTCTACGATATTCTTCGGTGATCTTTACTTGGAACAGCCATTTGTTTTGCTTTAGCTGAAATAAACAATAAAAGAAAAACAAATGAAACCATGTCGAAAATATTGGTCATTGTCATGCCCATTCTTACCACCACCGTATCCGAAGCATTTCTCACAGGCCTTACAGCTTTCTCGTATTGATCAAATAAATGATATAAGAGACGTTGTTCATCGGTAATTTGATTACCATCATTGTCATCACTCATCCCTTTTCCATCTACCATATCTCAAACAATTTATATATGTGAGAGAATTTGAATCCACGAAATATTACTCTTATAAATTCAAATTTACACATAATGAAGAATGGCGTTATAATAAATGAAAATTTTTGGAATGAGAAGATGTAAAGAGTGTTATTTTCTTTTATTATTTCATTTCTCATTCATTTCAGCTCGAATTGGCAAAATTTTTTCTTTCTTTGCCGATAATTTCAAATGCAAAAAGTTTGGTACGTTGAAAAATTCTGATTTCAAGCATACTCAAATATGATCAAATCATTCAAAATTACCTATATCAGCCATGCAAATGGTTATTAAAAAGATGAGATACATTGTCGATGATATTATCTCCGATAAACGATGGCATCTATTTGTCGCATATCAGCAAATTCAACGATTTATGGAAATTGCAGCAATTTTGAAATTGTATCAAATTAATTTTATTGCAACATAATTTCGAGTTTTGAATCATAAAAGTGAGAATTGATAAAAAATAGAAATGGAAATTCGCAGAAAAGATGTTCTGCCACATTTTAGATATCTTATAAAAGTTGGAATTCTAAAATATAAAAATAAAATTTTTGATGCACAAATTCTGAACGACTGATAGAATTTGACCTTTTAGTCCATAAATTTGTTGGTCAAATTTTGGATTATATTATCACTATTGTCATTAAAAGGTCACTCACGTGAACTCAAAGCCATACTGTATTTTTTTGAGGTTTAAATTTTCCTATAACCAAAAAACTTCCGAAAAATTTGTATTGATAGAATTAGTTGCCGTCATGAAGGAAATTGAGAAATGAGAAAACTTTGAATATTAGCCATTTATTTTGAGCAATCCTTTTAAACTACTTTTTTTCATTTCGACCAGAATATGAGAAATGAAAAATTACTTTTTTTAGAGGAAGCTTCTAAAAAATTAGGCGTAGCAAAGACAAAAGATTGAAAGAAAACAATGAGGCCATGAAGGCCTTAAAAAAAGTGATTGATACAAATTGATATGCGCAACAGCAAGGATATGTTAAGTTAAATATGGAACTAAACTAACGATAGCAAGTTACTTCATTTCATTCATCCATTACTATGGTAAAAAAATAATTTTGGCCTAGTAATTCGTCTGCCAAAAAAAAAATCTGCTGCTAAAATAGTAATTCAGGCCTAACTTTAAATTATAAACTTTTGAAATTGAAATAGTGCATTAGTTTGGTGATAAATTTCGATCAGATCTAATGAATTAATATTTTGCATTTAAAAAAATTTACTTATAAATGAAAAATTGCTATATTTAAGGATAGAAATATAAGAAAATGAGCAAATCATCGATATCTCTTTTGTTTTAGAATCATTCATTTGATAGAATTGACGACAAAGCTAAATTTCATCTTCGATAATCGTCAAACACAAAAAATTTCTTATTCATTTCAACAAACTTTCAATAATATTTTAGAAATTTAATATTTATAAAATTCGATGAAGAATAATATTAATGCTAACATATATGATTTAAAAAATTTTTCTCCTAAAATATGAGGCCAAATTTATTCAAAATTGCCATTTTATTTCAAAATTTCAAATTTCGATGAGGCAGTTCAAAGTTCATCTCTTATTAATTTTCCCTTTTAATTTGTCTTTTTTCTCATTGTTTTTTCACTAACATTAATTTTTGATATTAACAAATATTAAAAACTAAAAGCGAATATTTTTATGAAAACATTGAAAACAAATTTATCGATAATTTAAAACTGTAAGATAATAACAATAATTATTTCATTAAAAATCATTCTGTTAAAAAGTGAAGAAATTTTGAATTCTAAATTTCATTAAAATCATTTATTCAATCTTTTATAATTTGCTAAGTGAATGAAGAAATTTCACCGTTTTATGTTTAATTCTAATTTTGATATTTCAATCTTTTGATAATAAATTAATGAATTAAAGAAATTTCGAAATTAATTAATTAATTAATTAATATTTCTGTTATTTATATAAATTCTGAAATTACAAATCAATTCCATGCGAAGAATTTGCAATAAAATATTAAATGTTTGAATTGTTTTAAAGAAATATTTGTTTGAGTTTTTTAGGAAAATCAAAGAAGCAATTTTTCAAATGTGTAAAATTTCTTTTTGGTCAAAGCATTCTAAAAGAAATAAATAAATTTCATTTGCTTTTTGCAAGTGAAAAATTAGGAGTAAAAGAGAGGGAGAGAGAGAGAGGGAGGGAGAGGGAGAGGGAGGGGGAGAGAGAGAATGAATAAGGAATTAAATTGTTTTCTAATATTTTCAATGAAATTTTAATAATTATTATTTTTAATTTATGGGCAAAACTTTTTTTCCAAAATTTTCATCACTTTTCTGACTAAAAATCTAATATTAGGCTTTATTTTCTCATTTTCCAAAGGTAAAATATAAGATTTTAGTTTTTGAAAGTAAGAGATTTAAACTTAAAAATGTGAAATTTCATTTTTTAAATTTTGATTCAGTAATATTTATTTTTGGCAGGGAATAATGCAATACTTTCACTTACCTTCATCTTATATCGAAACAGCTGGTAGCATGGACCGATTTCAATTTCGCCTCTTAAACCCGTCTTTTTTTTCTAAGATATAAACTTAGAAAAAGTAACCAAAAGACCGAATGCGCTTTAATTTAGCTCAATAGTAATCGGTCAGTATTTTAATTCGATAAGTTTACGCTTCGATAAAGTCGCACAAAGCGTAAACTTACCGAATTAAAATACTGACCGATTATTATCGAGCTATTACAGCTTCTCTCAATTGATATCCACGACAAAAGCGCTAATTGTTCTATGTCGATAGTAAATATAGAAGTGCACCGCAATAATCCAATGTCGTCATTAATATATATTTGTTTAAACAAAAGAAGAAGTTGATGAAAGAACCTTCAACCTTTCGGTATTGTCTTTTTATCAGTCAATTTTCACATTTTAGCCGTTAAACAAATATACAAATGAAATAAAAGGGATATTATGGAAAAAGTTTGATTAAAATTCTATTAGTGACAGATGCGATTAGTACGCTTTTATTATTTTCCGACATTTAATTTTATTATTGGAAGAATAATTTTTTGAATGAAATAAATTCATTTAGCAATGTGTTATTGTAATTAGAAAGGTAAATTGAAATTTCAGATCAAACAAAAATTTTGTTGGATCTTTTTTTCATTTCTAACAATAAACAATGTGAAATTGATTTGCATTGTTTAATTTATGCGAATAAATTTTTAGACGAAATATTTCGCTTTAAAAATCTTAATGTCATTTTTTTGTATTACAAATTAAAAATTAAAAAATATATATGAATTTTAAATTTATCCAATATATTAACTGAGAATTTAATAAAAAAGTTTTTATTAATTAACGCTAATAATCAATGCAAATAATTTTAATTAATTAAATAAAAGTTTAAGTGCTATATCATTGAATAGAATGTTATGAGAAAGAGCTGTTCATAGAAGATGAGAGCTTTTGATAAGAGATAAATTGATAAGAGCTTTTCATATCTTTCGTAGCTATTAACAAACGAATTAATTTTAAAATTTAATAAATGAAATCAATGAAATGTTCCATAAAATCAGCAATTAACCGGATTGTCTTTTGGTTTTATAGACCTTTTAATAACATGAAAAGGATGATCTTTTTGCAAATTATTAATTTCAATTGTCAAAAATTAATATTGGCATCCTAATTAATTATTCATAAACATTCCAATACAGCGTATTACAGCGTTTTATTTTTAAGTCACAGCTTGATTGTTATCGCTGATAATCAGCATAAGTGATCAATTATGCTGTACTTTATTAAAAATCAAAAAACAATATGCTTTTCTTCCGAAATTCTTCCGGAAAATATAAGGAAAAAGGATATTAACAACGAAAGAAAAATGTGCTTTTCAATATGAATATTTTGCTAATAATATGTGAAATAACATTAATTATTTAATTAGTTTTTATCTAAAACAATTGCAAATTTATCATAAATTTCCAATTTTGGAATGTAATCGATATGATTTATTTTTTTTGTAATATTATTATTATTAAATAAAATTCAATATATTTTAATTATTTGATAGTATCGAATTTCTGTTATTTTATTTTATCAAAGGGCCATCACTAAAATAAATTATTCATTCTATTTTCAACACAAATCACAACAGCGACCTTTTATATATTGCGCTCTTTAAATGAATGTGCGTATATTTTTGTTGCAAATAATAAATTGAAATGGGAATGAAAATGATATGATTATTTTAAAAAGAGGAAAAAACATTTAATCTCTAATTATCATTTAATTTTAACTTTTGTTTTATACTTTTTTTTCCATCATTGCTCCTTGCATTTGTAAGAATTTTGAACTCATATTTTGTCTCTCCCGGAACTTTACACACATAATTTTCATTCCGGAATTAGCTGTCCAAATGGAATGATATTTTACAATATTTATCAATGAATGATTTCTGTTGCTTTACAAAATATGGACGTTAAATTACATCACAGCAAAAATTGTAATGATCAGTTTTTAGACCGATTTTGATCAATTTCGAGAACACGGAAATGAACTGTCTTTTTTTTGTTGCATCTGTGTAGTAATATCTGATCAAAAACAAATGTGATATCCTAAAATAATCAATTTGAATAATTTTCCACGGCAAATATAGTAATGATTCAGATCTTCAAATTGCCAGATTGGATTTTACTTTTTATATATTGGAAGTGGATTACATTATCCTTCTTAGGATCACTCAAACTAAAAGAAAATTGCAAACTGAAGAAGTGATGGAAAGTTAATCGCAGTGTTAACATTTTTCCTTATTGTCCTAATTTTTGATAATATAAGTTCAATTGTAAAGTTTAGGTATTATCATATTTAAAGTAAAAAAATTTAGGAAATACAGGAATTCGAATCAGAAATTTGAACATCAAAATTTAAATTTTAAATTTTTTTTGAATTCATATAAATCCGATACATCACAAATGTTCACAAATTTTCATTCCACGCAATGTCCCTAAACCTTATCGTTAGATTTTATATTATTCCTTTTCTCTTCACCATATCCTAAAATATATTTACATTTACTTTATTTGGTATGACTCATACTAATTGATAAAAATGACAATTTAAGTGTTATTTTATATTTCTTATATTTTGAAATTTTTTTAAAAAAAGATTATAAGTGAGATTTAGCATTGATCGATAAATATGACAAAAAGAATTTAATGAATATAAAGATAACAAACGATGGAAAAGTTGGATGGCAGCAGCCAATGAACAGAGTGATATTGGTATCAGTGATAATGAGAAACACATCAGTATAGCTCCATTTTCCCGAATTTCTGCAATGATTACTTTTAATTTTACTTTTTTCTTTTAAAATATTCAATTTTTGAGTTTTACAAAAAATTTAAATTTACGTAATAAAGAAGTTGAATTTTAACAAACATGTAGAATTCTGATATGTATATCTATTATTATCTGATATATATTTATTATTATTATTTCTGATATATTTATTAGGATATTTATTACTGATATATTCTGATATATATATATTTAAATTTATTAGGGAAAAGCAATTTTACCCTCATTTGTGTGGCCAAGAAAATTGGCCTTATCAAATTTCCATTGGCTTGGATTGAAGAACATGTTTATGGATAAAACGGCAATGATTGATAAGTAAATCGTAGAAACTATCTGAAACAAAGCAAAGAAAACGATGTGTGTGTGTGTGTGTGTGTGTGTGTGTGTGTGTAATATATTATATGTTTAGCTGAGAGTTATTATATCAAGAAAAATCTTATCAAGAAAAACATAATTAATTAGCATTGAAAATATTTTTTGAAATCTTAAAAACTTAACTAACCTGCACAATCATATGGAACAGAAGCGCACTTGGAAAATGTGTAAAGACGCCAATTAAGACAGCTACTCCACCGGTTAATGCAAGGCAAATGTGAAGTATGAAAGCACCGGAATAGGTGAAAAATATAGCGCAAAGGATACAAAATCCTGTCATTACCAATGAAGAACATACCACTAAAGCTATCTGAAAAAATTTTCTAATCATTAGATATTTTCTGAATTTTAATCAATCAAATATTTGATGAATTACTTAAGTTTTAATTATATGATCTATAATAGAATGGTACTCTTATCTTTGCGACTGAATCATATTAATGAATTGTCATTTGATAAAATTAATAAATTGTTGGATAGCATTAAAAGAGTAAGTTTACCTGAAGAAAATAGGTATTTTTGCAATTGTATGGAATTGGCTGTTTTTCATTTACTGTTGAAATTGATTTCTCAACAATATTTGGCATTTGCTGCATTCTAATTCAAAAATTATACTTAGAAAATTACTTTTATAAACACAAACATTAATAAAATTATTTCATTCGATAAATCAAATTTTTGTTAATAATTTGCAATGGCTGTGTAATATAAAAAAACTTCGTTATAATTCAAATCATTCAGTCATATTTAAGTCTTTGAGTATTTAACTTATCAAAGATATTTATTATGTTTACATATTAAAGATCATAATGATGAATAATAGCTTCAGTGATCATTTAATGACTGAAATTAATTAATTGAGTGGAAAAATAAGGAAACTTGATAAGAGAGTGTATCGGAGAGTTTTAAAAAATTCCAGATAATAGAATAAAACATATTTGATGAGAAAATTATTTCATATTTGAGCATTAAGTGTAATTGTCGTAGAGGATGAATAATATTTAGCATAAATTCCGCTCGATAGGAATATTAACCGGATAATCAGTTTGAAATTTTTAATAGTACTCTCAATCAATCGATATCACATCAAAATTGAACAGGAAAAGATAAATCTCTTTATCACTCCAAGGAATGGATAATTCAATCAGTGATATCTTCAGAGTAAATTAGAGAAATTAGTGATGAAATGAAGAAACGATTTGATAGAATGAAAATATATATGAATGAGTGAAAAGCGACACCGCGGGAGTATCGGATAGTGCGATCAAGCATATGTCTGCACGGTCTTTTCAATAATTGAAAGGTTGATTTTCCCATCGAAAGCATTAATATTAATGATTCTATTTTTTCCTTCCTGCTGTAGAATGTGCGAGAAAATTGGAATGTTTTAGAGCAAAACAAAAATTAAAATTATCTGTCAATACAACATAAATCAGTGGGAAAGAGAATGTATTTGCCCATATATCAGTCATTTCTTTCTAAATTAAAAAAATAAGAAATGGAATTTTCAATTCAATTATTGCCAGCGTTTCAGATTCGTTTCCAAATTCAATTTTTTGTTTTTTAAGAATAAAAAGTTAGAGATTGAGAATGATTGGAGAAAATGAGAAGAATGAAAAGTTAGAGATTGAAAAAGAGTAGAGAGAATGAGAAGAATGAAAAATAAGAGATTGAAAAAGAATGGAGAGAATTGAATGAGAAGATTGAAAATGGAATAAAAAGAGAGAAAGAAAAAAGAAAAGACAAAAAAATAATTTGTTTTAAATGAGAATGAAAAAGATGAAAATGAAATTTGAAATAAATTTGGAAATCACAATTTTTTTTATTTTCAAATATTATAACAAATATTTCAATTGGGCTATATTTCCAGTAAATTTACATTTATGAAATATACACTAAACAATCAATAATTAATTAATTAATCAATAAATCATTCATCACAATGCATAGGAATGAGATTGTTTTTCTAAGAATAAATTTCTTATAAAGTACATAATATTTCCCGAGTAGATAATATTTCCCGAGATTTACACGAACTTAGTTATTTTGAAAATTAGTAAATAAATTATTTCCATACTACAAAACACCGCAATTGCGATAATAAAAATTTTGCTATTATAATAATTATTAGCTTTATTGTTTATTTTGCATATTTCTATGAATAATAAAAATTAAAAATTAGTATGAAATTGTATTAATTTATATTCTCTGAACTTTCTGCTTTCACTTAAAATTAGAATTAAAAAATGAAATTTAAATGGAATTTTGAAATGGAAGATATTACTGTAAAGCTAAAATTATTTTTACATTCATTGTTATAATTGTAAAATAACAACAAAATGAAAATTCGAACACATTTATTCAACATTTTCATTGGAAGAGAGTACAGAAAGAAAATGTAATAGTTTTTAATAAATCACAAAATTGAGAAATGATAGACTAAATGATAAATCATGCATATTTTCTGGTTAATTATCGATCGGTAAAATAATACAACAATTTATCTCTGAAAAAAGAGGAACAATTTGAAAGTTAAAAGTGAACAAAGATCTTCATTTGGAATTACTTTTTTAAAAAAATTATTATAAAAGAAAAATTGAAGTAAAATCAAAAATTATTATTATTATTTCGCATTTTCAATTTACATTTCCATTCTCAAATAATCAATTAAAATTAACTTTACATTTAAATTCTAACCTTTTGAACTTTGCTATTGAAATTCTCACCTGTTAATTGTTTTTTTTGATTACTAATGGATTTGAAAATGGGAAAAAATTATTTCTAATATTATAGTAATAGAAATTAATTGTAAACAGTGAAAAGTATTACCATTTAAATAGACGAATGATTCAAAAATATTGCCATTTAAATAGACGAATGATTCATCCTTCGATACAACTTTTTATGATTAATCAATCCTTTTCGTTTTTTACAAATCAATATTTTTACGAACAGATAGCTTTGAGATATTTTTGAAGGAAAGAAAAACAATTTACTGATGGATGATGACCTTTCCAGGACTTCAACCTTAAAAAAGAAAAAATAAAATGGAATGTCTTCAAATGACGATGTCATTATTTGTTTCATATATTTTCAGAATTGAAGATCAAATCTAACCTTCAAATTGAAACAACTTTTTTCCAAAAGTTCCAACTTCAAAACTAAATTTACCTGAGATTGATTATTGCGAATAATTAATAAATTCATCGTAAAGTGGTTGGGAGTATTAGGAATGAAATTGTTACTTTAAATATAATTATACATCGATTTTATTCTAAAATATCTTTTATTCCATTTCCTATTGCACTACGAAAATTATTTACAACAAATTCTTTTTAATTCAATTTATTATGTTTTTCAGAAAAATTGTTTTGCTTTATTATTGATAAGATTTTACTAAATTAAAGTATAATTTTTCATTATATCCGTTGCTTATTACGGATATGATCGATTATTATATATGATCTTTCAGAACTCTCTTTAATATTTTGCAGCCGAAATTAATTACTTTCCTAAAAATTAGGATAGTGTAAAGAAATGAAATTCACTTATAATGTTCACTTTTCACATCTGGCAAACTACCAAAATGCAACGGTTTGTAAACATTTTGTGATAAACAATTGACTTCAATTTAGGCCCGGCCTCATTATTTATTTAAATTATTATCCTTCTTCATTCAAAATGGCACACAGAAGTCGATGATGAAGATTCTAACTGTCAACATAGTACAGAATTGTAAGATGTCGTTCACCATTTATATACTGCAACATTTCATTAATAGTAAACACATCATCAATAATATTTGAGCAACGAAGTGGCGGAAAATTACTGTTGAAGCGGAAATATACATCATTTTGGTCATGCAAATCCGTGGTTACAGCTTTCGTTGATATAGCTTAATCATTTAATTTCAATGTAACAAAAGATTATATTATTTAAATTTTAATTTTAAATATTTTTTTTACTGATTTAAAATTAATCGCTTTTTAAGAAGTGAAATTGGATATTATGTAGTAAGCAAATTTCATTTTTTATAAATATTTTTCATTTTTTGCATTATAGTCGTTCCGTGACGTCATTTTATTTAATTATAACACCACCTGATGTTTAGAATTGTCGTCTGGTTGAAGTTTAAACGACAGTGGTACGATGTTCCATTTTGTGTTTCCAAATTTGGTTCAATGATCCTTTCTAAATTGTTCGCCCTTTCAACACCACTCCTTCTTCACCTTCACTTTTTAGATAAGAAAAGAAAACTATATATATATTGTATGATGATGAAAAAGAGGATATGAAAATGAAAGAAGAATAAATAAATAGGGATGGAGAGAATTGGACGTGAAACACCGATCAGCTGACCGTCACGTCGATAACAACGGTAGTATCAATTCTTTTTCTTTTTTTAATAGGAAAAACTGGATTAGTGATAAAGTTTAAAGAATAAGAGAAAAAAAGAAGATAGAAGAATGGAATTGCAGAAGTGAAATGAGAATCGTCGAAAGTGGACATCACATCATATCGTTGAAGTGGACATCACATCATATCGTGTAATTACTTCATACTATCTCATCTAATAAGTAACTTCTTATTACATAATATTTGTGTTTTCATCTTTCCTAAATTATTCTATAATAAATTTATTCACATTAATTATATATCAATTAGAAAGTTATATGTGAGGAATTGTTGAGAAGCATGCGAAACTTAAACAAAATTTGATTATTTCGTGGACTGTTTAGCTTAAACAAATGACATAATATTAAAATAGAACAAATGCTTACATAAATTTACAATCAATTCAGGAAGAATTGGCTAAAATAATTTTCGGATTAAATTTTACACTATATAAAATTTTGCTGAATATTTTATGCGATCGTTTTCAATTTCATTTTCGATTTGCTATTTAAAATGAATTTGAATCAGATTATTTGTCTTATTTTCGAATTTCAGTTTGAATTTCATTGTAAATTAATAAATTTAAAAATGATTCCGCGATATCTTTCATCATAAAGGAAGAATAGCTTTTGAGAATATTCGTCAATTCAACATTTTATATTCATTGAAAAACAAAATTATGCAACAATAAATGAATCCTTTGTAGCCAAAAATTTATTCTAATTAGTAGCATTTTATTATTACAAGAAATCTAATTGTGGAATATGCGAAAGTGTGGAACAAACAAAAAATGTTACATAAAAGTTTTCACTTTGACCAATATCTTCAGAATATGTATATGTTAATTAATAAAAATATATGTTTGTTTTAATCGATTGTAATTTTTGATTATAATATGCACATGTTCCGCAATTAAAATTTTCAGGATTGGCACGAAATCTGTTGGTTGATCGCTTACTGATAATGTTTGTTTTTTCCGTATTTCCAACATTTTTCAAATGGTTTTTAATTTTGCAAAATATCAAATAAGTTCACGGTCATTTCTTGTCTTCTTTTGACCTCATTAGAAACCTTAAATCTTGAAAGAATAGAAAAATTTCTTTTTCGTAAATAACTTCCACGTTGATAAATAAAACAATGAGAAATTCAAAAAGGGAAAAACAATTCAACGGTAAAAAAAAATGAAAAAAGGATGACATGCTTGGTAAGGTTTTGTAAGGTAAAAATTTATATTTAAAAATTCTATCCAATTTGTGAACACCAAAGAAAACCGGCAGGTCTCAGGTTTTTTGATTCTCTAAAAAGTTCAAATATTTTGAATTTATAAGAGATCAATGGTATCGCAATTTTTTGATTTTAATACAACTATGATTTTAATTCTCTCAAGAAATTAAAACTTAAAAAAGTCATAAATTAAAAACTATGAAAGGAATTAAATGTCAATTAAGAAATTCAAGAACAAATTATACCTGCATATGACCTGGATAAAAAGAGAAAAAGTACAAACACAATATCACTGATACAATATACAAATGGAATGTATCGTACGGTTTCAATGTACGCTAAAGATCACAGGTTGGAATTTTCAGTTTTGTAAAAGACCTGGTTTAATCACTGTTCAACGATAAAAAGGAAAGAAACAATGGAAACAAAAATTCTTTATATATGCGAAAGTACAAATAAATAAATAAATAAGAAGTTGGAAAAAACAAAAAGATCATTAAAATGATCCCAGCACTAATTTGTCAAAAGGAACGGTTTAATTATCAATGAAACTTTCTTTTTTCTAAATGCTAATTCAGTTTTGTTAAAAAAATATTTTAAGTTTAAAAGTTTTGTCTGAGAAATAATTTTAGACTTTTCAAGAAGTCAGCAATGAAAGAAATTTTAAAACGTTGAAAGCGTGAAAAAATGTGAACGATTTTTAAAAATGAAACATAGTGGGTAAAAATCTTACACAATTTGAATTCCCTGAACTTGAAACTCTCAAAATGAATTGTAAATTACAAAAGGAACAGAAAAAAGAAAGGCTTATTTTTTCTTTGAGAAAATAAAATTTCAATTCTGATATAAAACAGAACATGACAATTTGAAAATCAAAGTAAGCATTGCGTCAACGGTGCAGGATACCACACAGATGCAGATGATGCAGGTATGATGTTGCGATACGATGATTGCGGTAATGATGTTGTTGCTGATTCTGCATTTGTTCCTTGCTCCTGAGAGTAATATTTCGCAAGAAAGCAGTTTTGAAGCTGCAACACTGTAGTAAGATCTGTTACAGGTTTTGTTGTTGTATCGTTGATTGATGGGATAGAATTTTGGTCATCTGTTAAGGTAGAATCACATTGAGATATGATAGTTGAAGGTGATGGAATTTCTGTAGTTTTTGAAGAATTGATAGCATGTCGATTCGTTTGTTTCAATGTTACACCATAACGTTTTTTAAAATTATGCAACCAATGTTCAGAAAACAAGCAACGAGCAGATTTTGTCGCTTCTTGTAATACTTCAGGACAAATTTGCAAAGCAAGTTCACGGGCTTGTTGTTGAAGCCAACGATTTGAAATTCGCTCACCCTTTGATTGTTGCTCTTGCAATCTTTCGAATAAAACTTTTTCTACACCTGGAAATTGAACTTTACGACCTCTGCGGCCTGGTTCCGTACCCGTTTGATTTTTTCGACATAACCATGGAAATCTTTCATAGAATGCTTGGATTGGTAGTTGACCAGGTTTGTTCAAAATTTCCTGAACATATTCTTGAGTTGTTGGAAGTGTTCCAGATGTAAGCATGGTCAGTGGATTGTCTGGACTCATTTGATCATCTACATCGATTAGAGTTTCCAAGCTATCGCTAAGAACACTATCAGCATCTGAATCCATACTCTCATTTTCTGCTGCTTCATCAGATTTAGCAGGTGATTGTTGTATGGAATCTGCGGCACTACTACCGGATTTAACAGATTCAGCAGAACCTAGACTTCCGGAACTACTATTACCAGAAGACCAGTCGCGGTTCAGGTTGATTCTATATCGTTTCTTGAAATTACTTAACCATCGCTCACTAAATTGACACATTCCGGCCAGTTCCTGCTCTGAACATTGCTGCTGCGCAAGATTTCGAGCTGTTTCCCGAATCCATCGATTCCCAACTTTCTTTCCAGTTCCCAAATGTGCATGATAGAGATGAAACAGTTGTTTTTCAATATCAGGAAATTGCGGTTTTCGCCCGCTACGGCCAGATTTTAGCGAGCCAGGCCTGGACTGTCGGATTTTGTCAATTTTTTGTAGCCATCCATTGAGCATTGATTTTGTTATTTGAAATTCTTTACAGGTACGATATTTGTTCTGTCCATTAGTATAGTAATAATTAATAACCATAAGTTTAAATTCTCGTGGATAGGACATTCGATTTGGTCCAACGGCAGCACCAAATTTAATTGCAATCCAATTGGAATTTAAACTTGGGTTTGCACAAGTTGGAAGAAATTTTAATTGATGCTGTTGCTGTGTTTTATTAATAAGCGATTGTTGTCGAGCAGCTGTCGACTGACTGAGATCCAATGGTGCTTCTAGGCTTGTTTCCAGTGCAGGAGTTTTTGCCGTTAAAGTGAATAAACGTGAAGCAATGGGATGTATCGGGGTTGGTCGATGTAAAACCGTAGTTTTTGGTGAAGTCAATAATTGTACCAGGCTAGAAGTAGAATTATTTTCAGCAGATAAATGAGAACTTTCCTGAACTAAATTCTTAGTAGTAGTAGTACTTGTTGTTATAGAAGATGTTGATGGCAAAGGAATAATAGCTGAAGCAGAAAGCAGCATTGAACATTGGTTAATGTTTATGTTATGTGAAGTGTGACCTATATCTGTTGAAGTTAAATTTGACATTTGTGAATTTAGGCTTCGTTGCTGTTGTTGTTGATGATAATGACGATGTTGTTTCTGTTGTATGTTGATGGTGGAATATTTGGTCAAATCCATAGGATGGATTAATGATACAAGTAATGGAAATATTAATGACAGTAGTTGGTGACGTTCTAAGAAGGAGAAAGTGTGATAGGAACACTTGGAGTCGTCGTTGGAGCAGCATGGACGAACTGAAATGAAATTTCATTTCAGTTCAAAAGAGGGTGTGTATGCTTTGTAAAAGGGGGTATAAGAAGACATCATCAGACCCCACCCATCCATCCCCGTCCTATCCCGCTCTTCGATGTGATGTTGACCAAAAGGTCGTTGGCTGGTGTCCCTATTTTCTTTAAATATCCTTCACCTCCTTCTTCACTTCGCTGTTGCTGCTTTTGTGGAAGAAATTCTTACAATTGAAAATGACGATAGAATGGAAACGGGTGGGGAAAGGGAGGGGAACTGTAACCCCCGTCGTCGTATGCGTCATTCTTACCGAGACAGAGAGAATATTTTGTTTATTTGAAGGTCAGCCCCCGATATACTCGATTACTGCGTCCCATGTCTTAATATTTGAAGGGTGAAGATACAGGAAGCAAAGCCTATTATACACACTACTCCTTTATCAGTCAGTTTAGTTCAGTCATCCAAAAGAATGAATAGGAAGACGAAATATGTTGTAAAATTTGAGATGCTGCTGCGTTCCACAACATCATTTGTTGTGTTCACAAAAAGGATTCTGCGGTGTTATCATGAATTTCTCAAAACAAGACGAAATCTCCCGCCCCCTCCCTTCCGCCCCTGGACCACTCTTTATACCCCTTCCAGACTCCTCTCTCCGTTTAACCCTTTTCTCCAAAGGGGTACAAGTTCACGGTCACACAACAAATAAACCGGGCACTACACGAATCTTATCTAATCCATCTTTTCTCCAACTCTCGTCATCGCTTATGCTTTTTCACAAAATTTCAATTTGTCCACTCACTTCCATTATTCATCTAATTACTTGCTATTATTCACCTAATTACTATATCAAAACCTGTAGTTATTCCTTACCCTATATCCGGTAGTTTAAATTTCTATCTGAACAACTTACAAAAACTGATGGAAATTGAATTATGTACTTCAGAAAATTCAAGTGAGTTTCAGATGCTTCAGGAATTATAAAACGGTTTATTAAGAAGCAGTTTGTATCTGAAATCTCTCCTTGATAACTGAGCAAATCTCTCCTTGATAACCATTTGAAAAGAGAAGGTTGTCAGAAAGCATTTACACAGACATTTTACTCGTCAAATGGATGAACCTCGGGAAATTCAAAGATTTTATTCATGTAATCCATTTTAAGTGAAAGGAAATTCAAGTGAATACAATTTAAACCAAGAATGTCAAGATATTCTTTAAGCGATTTGAGCGAGAGAATTGCAATTAAAATGAAAATTTGGTGATGAAACGAAAATTATAAATTCTGCCATTATTTCAGTTTTAAAAGAGGTTCAATAGAGACCGGTTAGGTCAATCAAGTATTAGTAATTTTGACCGTCGAAGTGGCCTGATTTTCAATTCTGCGAACAGCGATAGAACAAGAACAATTTATATGATGGATGTGTGACTTCGTACAATGTTCTCATGATCGTAGAGAAAGGAGGAAGATGCCCCCAACAACGGTCAATGAACCCATGGAAACTCTCTTCCCTCTCTATTCACTTTCCCTCCCGACATTTTCTCCAGTTTTGCGCGTACCCTCTTGCACCTGGTACCTCCCGGGGTCCCCTCCAGCTATACAAACGAACGCATCAGCGAAATCTCAACCCTATGAATGAAGAAGAGTACCCATTTCGATGAAAATAGGTCAGTTTTTGGTTTTCGAACGGAGGTACCAAGCGTGGCGAGTGGACGTACTTTTCGATGCAATTAAATTTCACCACTCTCGATCCTTTCCATTGGGTACTCCCAATAATGGGGACTTTACTAGACATCATAGTAACAACAGCCCCTCCATCTATTGTTATTGGATTTAGCCAATGTTATCTTCTTTGCATATAATCTTCCCCTTCCCTTTTCTCGTTTTCCATCATTCCGAGTAGTACCGAAATTTGATCTCCATAAGTAGACAGTTAACTTTATCTGAATGTTGTTGACATTTTCTCCATTCAGTAAGCGCTTCTTGCACCGACTATTGAAAGTGAATAAACATGAAATGGTCGAATATGATAAAAAGATATAAAGGATAATGGAATACTGAAGTAGAAGAATAAGCAAGAAATGATTGAATGCATACTATGCAAACAATCCCTCGGGAATGTGACAGGAAGAGTGCATAATATTGCTGTAAAACAAAAAGCTGCATAATAAGTGTACCCATAGGTAAACTGAAATCATCGGTAATTTAATTTTCAAGTGAACTGGACAGCATATTGGACGATTAGCGCTGTTAGTTCCTCCTGGAATATCAATGCATAGGTGATTGGCGACTCCTTTCAATCCAATTTGTTATGTAGTATTTCTCAAAGAGAGTAAAAATCGGATTTGGTAGATTGCTTAAACGTTATCAATGCCAGAAGCAAAAATATACGAGATCTGCATTGGAAGGAAAAATCGTCCTCAACCATCTGGCTAGTTGTTCCCCGACCTCCTCCATGAAATCACTTGAAAGGACCCGTGGTTGATCGTGATTTGGTTTTCTTTGTTTCATCATTAATGAAGACAATTTCAGTACTTTTTTTCTCTCTTGCGTACTGTCAGTTCATATGCTCTCTTCATTACTAGTGTTCACTCATTACCATTCTTAATCACTTATTTGATATAACATTTTGGTAGCGTCATCTTATGAAAAATATTACAGAGTTATATGCTTTCTGGAGAAGGCAGTGGAAGTGCATCCTCCTCATCCACGACATACTATGGAAGTTGCTTAAATATGAATCCGGACGTAGCTGAGCGTATCGCTTCACTTTTGTCCTCCCTGCGGTAGCATTTTTTTCATATTATGCCAATTAAATACTACGAAGATTACTGCAAATTCTATCTGATGCCAATTAAATTTTGATATTTTATTTCACTTTAGTTATTAACGATGATTGGGAATTTATTAATTGATGTTTAAAGTTCTAGGCTCACTTCACTTCGTAACAATATTCCGCAAGATGGAGAAGATGAACGTTTGAAGAAAATTCATCGTCAATTGGAATGGTTGGTAAGTGAGGAACCCGACGATCATAGGTGAGCTTGGATATTGTATACTGCTGATTGTACGAATTATTAAATTATATGCAGACGAAGATCGGTAAAGTGTGTTGATTTCATTCCATCTACTGATAAAACATTCTAGATAGAATTTAGTTGTTATAATAGAATTGCCATTGATATATTAGATTGAACTGTTTCTTCTTTTCCAGTCATTAACGCGATTTCGAATCCAGTTATTATTTTAAATCAATATTCCACATATTTTAATATCACGCATGTAAATAATATATTTTGTCTGATAATGCAAGAAAATTAATTGAAATTTGAAAATTATTTGATAGTAATCTTTACTATCTTGCTAAGATCATTTCAGGCGTCGACGACTTCGACATATATTGCCAGCAGCTAACTGTGTAAGAGAGCAGATTTTTGCGCTTCGACGCTTTCTGCATAATATTAATACTGCTTCTAGTACAAATTATGCAACACATATACATGGCGCATTAACAGCTATCATGAAGGAATCGTTTGAGGAAGAATACCGTAAATTAGCTACCGTAGTTGGTAAGTTTTCACAAAGTGTTGGTTCTTATTTTAAGATTCAAAATATATAATATTAATGCAGAACCTTGGTACCTCTGTTATCATTCTTGTATCATATCATCTATAGTGCATTTTCTGATAGGTGTTCTGGATGCGGTTGCGGAGCTGTTGATATTTGAAGTAGATGCTTTTGATATTAATTGTCCAGTGGAGAATCGTACGATTAGGAAGCTGATAGCGAGTACATTAACTAATTTAACGTTTGGAAATGCGCAAAGCAAACGTCGTCTGTGTTCGCATCCGAATCTTATAGAATATACTATTAGAATTATAAATGATTTCCATGGTCTTGCTCAGGTTTATGATTTTTATGCATAATTTTATAAATTTGTGCAGCGTATGCATACGCGTATTTATATTTGCACATTATTAAACTTATTCTCATCACACTCCTCTGTTATGATGAAACAAATTTTTATTTAGGTATATGCTGGTTTATTGCGAAATTTGTCGTGGATGGCAGATGCACAAATGAGTGCAACGTTAGCTCCATCAGTTCCGGCACTTGTGCGAGCTTCACTCCGTGCATATCGGACAGCCGAATCGAAATGTTTGTGCGCTACACTTTCTGCGCTATGGAACTTAGCATCGCATTCACGAGACAATAAAAAAGCTCTTTGTGAAGAGCCAGGTTTTTTAGAAATGCTTATCGAATTGTCAACAAATGATGCACAGCATATGGTATGTTGAAGTTCTTGGGATTATAAAAATAAAGATTAGAAATGTTTATCTCTTCTTACTTAGGTAAAAATCCTTAACACTACTAGTTCACATAATAATATATCTATATGGATAGCTCTATTAAAATGTTCTGCGCGCAGTAATTATACCTAAATATATGCCTATATCAGCTTCGACCAAAAAAATCAGTTATCACATCAAAATTAACTGAACTGACAAAAACTTAAGTGAGAATAAATTGAAGGATTTCAACACTCTGATACATATTTTATTAGAAATTTATCTTGATAGGCTCTAAGTTTCTTGTACTTATTGAAAAATATTGCCATTTATAGGCACTGGTTGAACCAGCGACTGGCGTTTTGAAGTATGCATCAATGTACTTAGCTGTGGTAGGAGTGGACCAATATTTATCCACAAGTGCCATTCATATGATGATGCTTCGCCTTATCGATTTGTTAAATGGTCCGTCATTCACCGTGATAGGAAATGCTTTAGGGATACTGTCGCAGTTACTTGCCAAAGGCCATCAATTGCGATCTCATATTGTGTAAGCTTTTGAAATGTTTATTTAAACTTTACAATTTTAGTATTATATTAACATTTGTATGCAACGAACATACATATTAAGAACATTTTTAATTATAAACTTTGTTATAGGAAATCTTTATTAATGGTAGTAGTTAATTTCGATAAAGCAATTCAAGCCATCATGTTTGTTCATTACGAGTTTTTCCGGTAGTCCTGTAACCTT